TGGTAAAATGGGGATAATACCATTACTGCTTCTTAGGGATGTTATTTGAATCAAATGAATTAATATTTGTAAAGAGCTTAAACCAGAATTTAACAGAATTGCCAAGTTTCTTAAATAGTTAAAAAAATTGAAAGAGTGATGAAAATCTCTCTTCTCCTAAGATTACACATTCTTAATTAATAAATGCTTTTTTCTTCATTAATGCCAGGCTTCTTATTCTCTGTAAAACCACCACTTGTATCTATTGTACAAATTACACTATATGACCCAGCAATCCCACTACTGGGCATATACCCAGAGAAAACCATAATTCAAAAAGACACATGTACCCCAATGTTCATTTCAGCACTATTTACAATAGCCAGGTCATGGAAGCAACCTAAATGCCCAGTGATGGGCGAATGGATAAAGAAGATGTGGTACATATATACAATGGAATATCACTCAGCCATAAAAAAGAATGAAGTTGGGTCATTTGTAGAGACGTGGATGGACCTAGAGACTGTCATACAGAGTGAAGTAAGTGAGAAAGAGAAAAACAAATATCATATATTAACGCATACATGTGGAATCTAGAAAAATGGTACAGATGAACCGGTTTGCAAGGCAGAGATAGAGACACAGATGTAGAGAACAAACCTATCGACACCAAGGGGGCAAAGCTGGGGGATGGGGCTGGGGTGGGGAGTGGGATGAATTGGGAGATTGGGATTGACATATATACACTAATATGTGTAAAATAGATAATAAGAACTTGCTGTATAAAAAATAAAATAAAATTCAAAAAAAGAGAAATTACACTATGTTGTTGAAGACAGTCTAGAAAACGAGTGTTCGATCTATTTGCACTAAGAATTTATTTTTTCATGTTCCTTGTTTACTAAAAATGCAAAGTTTAACAGACTTCAATTACTTTGTAGATCTTGTTGGCCAAAAGTAGGAGTTTGGAGAGATTCTATTCTTGGCTTAGGGCTTCTGATTTTTGTATAACAACCATCATTATTGTCTAAGATCTGGAAGGGACTTTGATTCTCAAATGAATATGTTCTATGAGCACCAATGAGTTGTTCAGTTGGGAATGTCACTCCCATTCCTCGTCATCCCGAGGGCAGCTGATTTCACACGTTACATTCAGTCCCTCCCTCCTGATTACTTATTGTTTTCCCCTCCCTTTCTGTATATCGGAATGTCTGGACTCCCTTCTTTTGAATCAAATGCTAAAACTTTTTATTTCATTCTGCTACTGAATCTTGTTAATGCCTCCTCTCCTTTTCACTGACTCATTTGCCAAACTTGGCTATCTGCCACTTACTTCCTCAGCCATATTATCCCATATCTTCAGCTAAAAACAAGATTTGAATTTCTCTTCATCAGTTCAAACTCTCAAGGTCTAAACATAACTCATCTGTATCTTATCTCTTTTAACTACAAAAAGCCACATACTGAGAGAGGACAATCATACTTGACAAAAGACTGATGTCTTGACTATATCAAGAACTTCTACAAATCAATAAAAGAAAAAGGCAGTTCAATAGAAAAGTGAGGGGAATACATGAACACCTGCTTCAAAGGTGAAACATGAATGGCCAAAAACATGATAAGATGTTCAAACTTATTAGTAAACAAGTAAATGCAAAATAAAACGACCATGAGATGCCATTTCACACTCAATGAATTGGCATATATGAAAATATGCCAGTTTCATAGATTGGTGAAGATGTGGAACAATGAGCATTCTCATACTTGGTTGGTGGGAATACATTGTGGAGCAATCACTTTGAAAGCAAATGTGGTATTACCTAACTTGATTAAACATATGCGTATCCTGTGGCCCGACAATTCTACTGCTAGTTATTTGGCATGTGTACTCTAGGAGACCTGCACAAAACTGTTTCAAACATTAATGTTTGGAATAGCAAAACACTGGAAATGACCAAAATATTCCTAAGTAGGATGAATAAATAAATTACAGTGTATTAAATCAATGAAATACTGTACATCTAGAAAACAAGTGAACTTTAGCTACATGAATCAAAAAGGGTAAGTCTGAAACACATAATATTGAGGAAAATTGCTACTTATGGGAATTTATATGGTATCGTTTCCTTTCTGATAGATTATGTAGGGATATTTACACATTCACTGTTGTATAAAGTACAATGAAAAGCAAGGGAAGAGGAAGATGATTTAGGAAGGGACCAGAGGAGGCTTCAAAGGTATCATTACCCTCTATTTCTAAGGCTGGGTGGGAAGGCCATTCTTTCCCCTTTAAGACTGATAGATTCACTACATACAGTTCAATGTATATTTTATGATTAATACATAAAGAATCTAATGCTCAATAACTATACTTAATGTTTTTCAGTATCAAGTGAGTTTTTGTGGATTCCTCCTCTTAGTCTTGAAATATAAGCATTCCACAGTAGAATACAAAGTTAAGGTTACAAGTGTCCTTAGAATTAGTTAATATGGATATTTGTTTGAAGGCATATCGAATAGAACTGGGTTGCTTGCCAGTTAAACACTAGTTTCTTAATAGGAGTAATAATAATAAAGCTAGCTCTTTATAACATTTCAGATATTTTACAAATCACGATGATAACATAATCCTGGAAAAACTCTACTGAACAGATACATATAAGATCTTAGGATAAAAATTTATAGAAAGAATGTAGAAAGAGGGAAACTATAGACTCTCTAGAAAAAAAGAACTTTCCAAGGCTGTGGACTTGGATCCATGAAGTTGATTTTACTATTCTCCTAATGTGATTGGATATAGTAATCCCCACTTATCTGTGGTTTTGCTTTCCATGGTTTCATTTACCCACAGTCAGCTGCAATACCAAAGTATTAAATGGAATACTTTAGAAATAAACAATTCATAAGTTTTAAATTGCATGTCGCCCTGAGTAGCATGATGAAATCTCATGCCTTCCCACTCCATCCCACGCGAAACATGAATTATTCCTTTGTCCAGCATGTTTCACCTGACCATCACTTAGCAGTCCTCTTGGTTATCAGACCGACTGTCACAATATTGCAGGGCTTGTGTTCAAGTAATTTTTATTTTACATAATAATGGCTCCAAAGCACAAGAGTAGTGATGCTGGCAACTCAGATATGCCAAAGAGATGCTGTAAAGTAATTCTTTAAGTGAAAAGGTGCAAGTTCTCAGTAAGGAAAGAAAAAAAAAATTATATGCTGAGGTTGCTGTAAGAACCTCAGGTTGTGGTAAGAATGACTCTTCTATCCATGAAATTGTGAAGAAGGAGAAAGAAATTTGTGATAATTTTGCTGTCGTACCTCAAACTGTAAAAATTATGGCCACAGTACCTAATAAGTTTGTAGTTAAGATAGAAAAAGCATTAAATTTGTACAAGGTATTTCAAGAGAGCCTACATTCACATAAATTTTATTACAGAATATTGTTATAATTGTTCTCTTTTACTAGCAGTTATTATTGTTAATCTCTTTGCCTAATTTATAAGTTAAACTTCATCATCGGTGTGTATACATGGGAAATAAATAGTATATATAGAGCTCAGTATTATCCGAGATTTCATGCATCCACTGGGGGTCTTGGAATGTATCCCCCAGTAATAAAGGAGGACTACTATACTACTAAACACATTAGGGGAAGATGGAGAGAAACTCACAGTCTTACAGTTCTGTGATCTTTTTCCAATTGCTCCATAGACAATTTTACATGAGAGTGGGCTTGGCACTGAGAAGATTGGGAGGAAACATTGGTGTGTTTTTTAGCTTTTTTTTTTTTTTTCCCACACCGCATGGCTTACGGGATCTCAGTTCCCTGACCAGGGATTGAACCCGGACCACGGCAGTGAAAGCCAGGAATCCTAACCACTAGGCCACCAGAGAACTCCTAGACTTTATTTCTACAGCCAACTCTGGAGTTATCCTTTTTGAGTTTTTTCTGACTCTCTCCCCTTTTTGCCATCTGGCATGTAGAGTATGTATTTCCCACATTTCCCCCTTTTACAAAGTTACAGACTCTCTACAAAGTTAGAGACTACAGAGAAACAGCAATGTTCAAGGAGTTGGGGAGTTTATGATGGAATACACAATTTGATGAAACTCCATCAAAGGCACTCAATCGTAAAGCCAAATACAGAAATACACAAGTCATGTGACAGTGGGATGTGGGTAGGGATTGTTCTGTACTGTTGTTGTTGTTGGAAGCAGAATCCCCTCATTAAAGCTTGCATTGTATGAAATTTAAAAAAGAAAAGAAAAAGAAGGAAAGGAACACAAATACAAATCCAGAAATAATCCTGCTAAAAATTCACAAATATTTCTGAAAATAGACAAATGTGTTATAACATTGGTCTTAAATTATTTTCATTGCATGTGTTAAAGTCCTCCAGAAATAGAAATTTTCTTCAGTTGTTCCTTTTACTTACTTGCCCCAAAATTCTACAGGAAAGAAGTTTAGGACATGGTGTACTAAATTTATTAGATTGTAATCCATTTGATTTCTCACTTTTTTATATCAGTTCATGAGATTTATTGTTTAGAGAGGCATCACTAGAGGTGTCTCGGGAAATAATAGAAATGTAAAGTACTTTGCCACACAGGAAGTGGAAAAGCAATTTCTATTTTCTGAAGGACTATAATGTCATGGAGTCATTTAGCAGAGAGCAGTAGATAGCGAAGATGGATGAGAGGCATAGAAAAGTGCAGGACCAGTGCAGTGTGTGAGTAATACTCTAACCCACATGCACACACACATATACACAAGTATGATCTTTTTTTTTTTTTTTCCAGATCCAGTATCTACTTCTAAAAGATTGCTCATCTAGAATTTAACTTCTTTCGTTTTATGCTTCCAGCCCACAAAAGACTACTAGGACTGCGTGTCATTAGGTTCTGGATTACTTAATTATTTTCATCGAGTCTTATTATTCGGTATATTGATGATTTATATATTTTGTGTTCCTCCTTTTTCTGACTATGTGGCCTCCTCCCAACTGAAAATGAAGATTGCTGTGTCCACTGTATCCTGGCCTGCCTGTTCTGTGAATTCCTGACCCTCTGCAATATTGTCCTGGGACAAGCTTCGTGTGGTCTCTGCACCTCAGAAGCCTGCTGCTGTTGCTGCGGAGATGAAATGGGAGATGACTGTAACTGCCCTTGTGACATGGATTGTGGCATCATGGATGCCTGTTGTGAATCATCAGACTGTTTGGAAATCTGTATGGAATGCTGTGGAATTTGTTTTCCTTCGTAAATATTTATCTTCTGTTTGCATTAAAACTGGAGAGTGTTTTAAAATTTTTCTTTTAAGGGGAAAGAAAAGCACGTGGTAAGATTCTCATCAAACAATCCAGTATTTGCACTGTTAACTCATTATTTTAGGAAATCTCTGCGAGCCTTTTTTTTCCTCTAACCATATCTACATGGTTTAATATGTGAAATTTAAACTACTTTTAGACTTCTTAATAGGTTAAAATGACTGAGGGACATTTTGACAAAACAGAAAGAAAGGAAGGGAGGGAGGAAGGGAGGAAGGAAGGGAGAGAGGGAGGGAGAAAGAAAAAGACAAAATGTCTCCTCTTTTGTTTACTTATTTCTATTTCTTGTAACCATTCTTAGGAGCCCCTTGCTCCAAATGTATTATTTCTCAGTGGTTATTTAAATCAGACAATTTATCTGTGATGTTTGTTAATGGTTAAAAGTATTCTTTAAACTTTGGGAAACAAACCCACACAGTTGCTGGGGACCCAGTGTTCATCTCCATGCTGTGTTCTCCACTCGCTCAGCAAACACTGAGTGCCTACTGTGTGTAATCTCCTGCTGCAACACAGAGATGGATGTCATTCAGCTCCAAACCAGAGGAGCATAGGAAAGTTTAGAAGAGGAAAGAGACCTGTAAAGAATAAACCAGCCCACAAGGCATATTGAAGTGAGGATTATGGGAGAGAGAAACTCAAAAGGCTATAGGAATACACAGAAAGGAAAGCTAATGTCTACTGGAATATTCAGATGGCTTCAAGGAGAATGTGGCATTTGAAGGAGGCCTCTTAGGATGAGTGATTCATCTGCTGCTTGAATGAATTAGATTTAGGACCAAGTTTTAGGTGACTAGCCTGAGCTGTGTGTGCCCTTGAGCAGTTAGAAGAAAAACGCCTTAAGTATGTATTTTCTTTTTTTAAACTATAAAATTAACTAATAATATGCATTTTTTACATAATCTAGATGTTATGATAAAGTTTTGATAAAAACAATGCTTTATTAAAATAGCTATATTTTTTAAAGAATGTGGAATACTTTTGAAAAGTTACACTTAAATTAGGAGATTTTTTAATATTAAAATCTCAGCATTCTCATTTGATTTATTTTCTTTTTGAGAGCTTTAAGTCTTTTGCGGGGGGGTTGTTAAGAAACAAACCGAAAACCCCCCAATATTTATAAACACAGTTAATCTTAAATGCAAACCATTCCTTCCAATTCAGTAGGAATCTTGACATCCACTACTATGACCGAATTTCAGTACTGCAACTTTATATTAAATTAAACCATTATGGCAGGTTATAAATATCCTTAAGTATAAAGAAATTAGTCAGTTACAAGACTTACTAAGTGTTAGCGACTTAGTAAGTTACAAAGTTACTAATACATAGAGACTTTGTGTGATGCAGATGAAAGGGAGGGTAAATTTTCATACTACCTGCTCTCCTACTAAGTTTGATGTCCCCAAATTGTAGTTTGCTTTGATTTAATGTAATTCCTTGTAGAAATTTTGAAAGTATACCTTTGGATGAATAGTTATTTTTGATTCTTCCAGTTGAATATCAAATTGATAGTAAAAACAAATGCATACTTTTAGGAAGCCTTTTAGCAAATTTAGGCTTTTAAGAAAGATTTTAAACCTAAAGCATGGGTATGAGACCCACGGTTTTTCCTTTGAGATGAAACTTAGTTTCTACTTATATCATTACTTAAAAGGCTTAAAAAAGAAAAAAAAAGTTAGCAGACTCTTGAATCCCCCTTTCAGTACTGTTTACACACACACACACACACACACACACACACTGTTAAATTGTCCGTTTTAAATAGAGTTCTAGTAAACAGCTGTCTTTCTGTTCCTTGTCTAAAGAGCTTCTTTGATGTAACAAATGAAATAAATATAAGAACATCTTTCTACTATTTCATAGTAACCAGAGTCTGAGTATTTACATATACCCAAAGTTAACTTATGCATATATATTAGGATGTGAGAGTATCAACTTTATATTGACATATAAAACCTCCTAATGACCTGAAATCATTAAAATATTATACTTTTTGTCCTGCAAAAATTTTCAGCCGAATGGTTTGACTAATATTTAAGTGTATTCTGCTACTATTTGCGATGATGATATTAGCACTTTTAAAATAATGTTTCTCTGTAACAGAGCATTAGTTGATAGCAGAATTTTATTCTCATATTTACATTCATAGTACTTTTGCTCTATTGTCTATCCTGCAGTCATTCCATAAAGTACCATGTATGATTTTTAAAAAATAAATGAAAAAAACAAAAGTAGGCAAATGTGAAAGTCGTTTCAATATGTATTTTAGAATTTCTGTATGTAACATGTTTTGTTGAATTATATGGTCATCATGACTAAGCGCTCTAGTTTACAGTTATAGATCTGGTCTCTTTTTAAATGTGGAAATTTAATCTTAAATATTTTTCAACTGGATCTGTATTATCCCAAATATATTATTTTGAAATTTAAAAAGTGACTTCTCTATTGTTCTTTAGCCTATTTTCAACCTAATTGATATATTGATATTTAAACGAATTCAACTATAAATTAAAACCTTAAGCTTTTCTTTTCTCCTTACATCCCTCTCTAAAGATTTCCTAGTCTCATTATGTAAATCACATGACTCATGCCCATAAATGAACTATGAAAGATTCAGATCAGTTTATACTGCAAATCATAGTTGACAAATGATTTCAAAACATAGTTTTCTTTTAAAAATTCACAATAGCGCAAAATGCATGTTTTGTACATTTTTTTAGTAAATTGCTTTTACTCATTTGCTTTGGAATTATCTCCCAACTTATAAAAACTGTGGTAGGTTTTTTTTTTAATATGTGTACTGAAATTAAGCACAAAATAGCTGTGCAATTGGGTATTAAATTTCACCCAAGAGTAAATCATCAGAAGTACTTTCAACTAGGATCTTTAGTGTCACAATTATTAAGTAACAGGAAATGTTTTACTGTTAGTATTTAACCCCCCAAACAACTTTATTTAGGAGAAACCTTTTTACTTAGGAATATAATAATTTTATTTTTGTGTTTTTATAGTATATCGACTATATCCATTTTCCTCACCTGAAGCAGTCAGTGCTTCTCTGAACAGTTCAAGGAGTAACCAAGGCAACCTTATGTAATAACTTTTCATTCTTTATCCATACAAACTCTATCAGTGCCCTAGATTCCAATGTTATAAACGTCAAACTCACTGCCTAACATAAATAAGACTTGAGTCCAGAGTCTCTGTGGCTTGCCTTCTTGAATTCCAGTTTAAATGCCTAGATTTACCCAACCACCTAATGAATAAGTTTATTTATTAATAAGATTATTTTTCAAATTATTCAAGACCTTTATGCCCTTTCCAATTACTTGTGATTTGTAGGCCTGTAGGTTTATTACAGGTTTATTATTTAATCTGACAGGCAAGATAAAATTTAATCAGATACTATAATATCCACTTTTCTCTTATTTTAATACTAATAAAGGAAATCATACCATTTTTGTTTTAAACAGCACTTAATACAGGGATAGGGTTTATTCTACACTATTTATATTTTAAAATCGAGGATTAGGTACTACAAGGCAGTCTTTTTAACCCTTCATCTCCATGTCCCCTATAACCAATAAATTTATAGTGACTATTTTCTCTAAGCCCCTCGAGGGAGTCAAAAAACCCTCAGGATGTTTCATCCTAGGGAAGAAGTTTGGCACTTCCCGTGAGAAAACTGTTAGTTCCAACAGTGAGGCTACTGATATATACTTGCTCATTTCAGACTACTTTTAGAGATTCTGGTTAAAATGGGAGGGGTTGTGGAGAGGGAATACTGTTATGATGCAGCCCTAATGTAGAGGGTGGTTTTTGCAAAAACTGTCATTGGTGACTAAATCCACCATGTATTTTCACACTGCAACATTCCCAGTGAACAATGGCTGCTCCCTCTACTTTAAAGGACTATGAATCAGTATCATCCGAATGATCAAATTTTAATAAAGTCAACTAGCAATCTGTACGTGAAAAGGATTCTAAGCAAAGCCACATCTGAGCCTCACCTGGAAAGCAGGATCTCTATCTAGGCAAGCAGAAATCTGCACCACCTCATTCTTTATCAAACTGGGACAACTGTGTGACATCTCCCACTAGGGCAACAACTATAGCCCCTAAGCTGCCAAATGTCAACCTGAGTAGTTCCCTCCCCTTCCAACTGAACAGCAGCCACTAGTTCCAGTTCTGTTGTTTGTCCATTATGTATGCCCTTGATCCCTCACCTCAGCCCTCGCTAAAAGAGACTCTTGAATTTATTTGTGAGGTGACCATGAAGAAATCACTTTAGATAACCATGCCTGGACATATTACCAACATCGAGTATAGCTGTATGTGTTAAAGACAAAGTATAGCTCTGCAATTAAGTATTCATTTTCAGGCAGGTCTTTGAGGTTCAGTGGAGAATGTAATTATTAGGAAAATAGTGAAAAGCAAATTCAAACAAATTCTAAGTTTAGCTTGAAAAACTGAAAAGGTTCTTAAGTTCTGTCTGATGCATAAAGGGGTAGAAGCAAAGGAATTACATTCCAAAGCCAAGAAAGAGGGTGTACAAAAGCAGCTGATCCACTTGACATAGTTCATAGCCTTTTGCAAAGGAATAAAAGCCCGTTGAGCAGGGAACCAAAAGATCTCATTATAGGATGAAGCCAAGCCATATTAAAGCTTGTGCACTAGTAACTATGTCTAAAAACAGCCTGCTGTTTTATATTGAACCAATACATTTCTTAACTTGGTAGGTTGCAGTGTAAAGATGTACAGAGCCTGTCTGCTGGATGCTATGCCAATTACAGATGTGGCGGAGTGGTGTCAAACACCTACAAATAGTTAGGATCTCCAGCAATCTTAGAGTGAAACAAAAGAAGTTTTAAAATGTCATTTCAAAACCTAGATAGCACAGTTCATCATATGTGTCTGACTCTCAGAGTCTCGAGATCACCTTTATTATATAAT